GACTGACACTTTGGAAGGACTCAGGCTTTTCCAGCCCGGTGCAAGAGAGCTCGGGCCACTGCTGAGACAGACCACGGAGATCAATAGATATTTTTGATAGGCCCAGGCAGGGTGAGCTTGACATGTCGCTACACGAAGAGAATCTTGCAGTGGGCAGATAGAAAGAGGCTTGGAGAATTTACGAGTCCTTCCTTATGTACTGTCCAGGAAACAGGCCCCCAAAAGAAAGGGTTTTGCTCCCAGACACACTCACTGTAGGTTTGTTGCAGAGGCAGGATTAAGCAAGGCCTCCAGAACTCCTAGCACATTGAGTGACAAGAGACCTCTGCGGTCAGGTAACTGGGAGAACAGAGATATTCCCCTCGGGGGTTGGGTGCTGGGACTGACTGCCCTGGGCAAAGGCTTAGGACTGTCCCTCTGCAGGCTGGGACAGTCTTGTCCACATGGCAGCCCTCTGCCCATTATTCAATAGCTCATCTTTTCTCTTCCACCACAAAATCACAAAAATGCTTACAGCACGTATTAAGGAACAATCTTGGTCGGGCGTTGGTGGCGCTGGCCTTTAATCCCAGCACTTGGGAGGCAGATGCAAGTGGATCTCTGTGAGTTCGAGACCAGCCTGGTCTACAAGAGCTAGTTCCAGGAATGCCTCCAAAGCCACAGAGAAACCCTGTCTCGAATCCTCCCCCCCCAAAAAAGAACAATCTTATATTCTTGCATTTCTTGTTTTTATTGTGGTAAAATATACATAAAAACCAAGTTATTTGAAGGGTACAATTCAGAGGCATTAGTACATTCTCACTCCCAGCCACAGAGCTCTTTCATCTTCCCAAATTGAGTGGAGTTGCACGTTCTTAATCATAAAACTACCAAAGAGTCCATCTTCCTGCTCAGAAAAGCCCCCTCCTTCCTGCCCCTGGCCCCATGCTAAATGTCCTCTGTCCATTTTCTGGCATCCGACCTTCAAGGGGTCACTGGAGGTCAGGAGAGCACAGACTGAGAGGAGAGAGGGCCTGAACAAGGCTTGGATATAGAGGGGAGCATGGTGGTGCAAGCCTGTAATCCTAGCACTTGGGAGGCTGAGGCAGAATTGCAAATTAGAGACCAGCCAAGGCTATATATTGAGACCCTTTCTCAACAAGGAAACAAATATATCCCACCCCAGCCCTTGACTCTAAGGCAGGGTTTTCTCAGCTGGCTTTCCCAGTGAGCAGATTCACCACTGAACAGGAGTGTCCAGGACTATTTCAGATGTATGCTAAACTGGACTCTGTCCACTGCATGCCAGGAGTGTCCCCCAGTCCTGTGATAATTCAAAGTCTCCTCCAAGGACAGAAACCAAGTAAGTCAGCTTCTCTCAAGCCTCAGGTCCAACTGTCCAGGGGGACAGCCATCCTAGTGGTTATGTTAGCTGTCAAGGAACATGGAACATTCAAGGACTCAATACAGACTCCTCTCTTCCACCATTGTATGACTTACAGAGAACTGCCCCTTTTGCCAGAGAGACCCAAGGCTTCTCAGTCATTGAGGCTCATTGGTGAGGCAGGGCATTCTCTAGTGTCTCATCTGGGACCTTGAACAAGCTATTCTCTCAGTTTCACTCCAGGCTGGCATAGGACTTAGTGGCTTTGCATGTCCATTTGCAAGGGTTACAAGGTATGAGGTCACAGGGGAGGAGAGGCAGCAATGGGCCAAGAATGGTCCATTGCTGCCAGGCTGAGAAATGACAGGCAGAAGAACACGGGCTTCTGACCTCTCCCAAGCTCTACTTGCTGCCCACCCATTGTCAAGGGACTGCCTAGCAGATTCCACACACTGCCACACAATTCTGAAGACAAATTAGGTGACTTCCAAGAGCATGGGTCCAATCGTGAGCCTGTCACCCCAGCCTGGCTGGGCATTCCTGAACAGATGGTTACCCACTCTGAGCCTCAGGTTTCCTATCTGTAAAATGGATATAGTGACACCTGCCACTGCAGCCCCTCTAAGGACTGGTGAGGGGATCGAGTTCTTAGGTGGAAAGAGGAGTGCATTGCTAGCTGCAGGTTATGGTGGGGTGGGGAGGCTGTGCTGCATCTCCAAAGCAGACATTAACAGCAGTGAGCCACTACATTTGTCTTCTTCTTTATTTTTTTTAAGATTTATTTATTTATTGTGTATACAGTATTCTGTCTGCCGGGCGTTGATGGTGCACGCCTTTAGTCCCAGCACTCGGGAGGCAGAGGCAGGTGGATCTCTGTGAGTTGGAGGCCAGCCCGGTCTCCAGAGCGAGTGCCAGGATAGGCTCCAAAGCTACACAGAGAAACCCTGTCTCGAAAAACCAAAAAAACCAAAAACCCAGTATTCTGTCTGCATGTATGCCTGCAGGCCAGCAGAGGGCACCAGATCTCATTACAGTTGGTTGTGAGCCACCATGTGGTTGCTGGGAATTGAACTCAGGACCTCTGGAAGAGCAGTCAGTACTCTTAACCTCTGAGCCATCTCCCCAGCCCCTACATTTGTCTTTTTTTCTTATTTCTGTTCTTGAAGGAAGGAGACCAGAGGCATTAACCCAGCCTCCTGCTTTTTTCTAAATGCAGAGAAAGAATGTGGTTCTGTCCTCTGTGGAAATGGGCACATTTGCTGGGCATCTCTAAGGACATGCACAGGGAGGACATGGGCCCCTAGGCAAGGCTGTGGTTACTACTCAGTCTTGGAGTGGATACAGTCAGCCACAGGTACTTTGGAGGCATCTGACCTGTCCTAGGCTCTCTGTGTTCCACAAGGATGAATCATATTGAACCACATCTGAATTTTGAACATTACTGTCTCATGCTACAGATGAGGCATTATTTAATATGCTATAACAAAGGCTAAGAATGTAGCTTAGTTGGCCAAGTGCTTGCCTAGCATGCATAAAGCCTTAGGTTCGATTCCCAGCACTGAAAAAAAAAAAAAAAAAAAAAAGCACATGGTGGTGCACAACTGTAATTCCAGCACTTGGAAGTAGAGACAGGAGGGTCAGAAATTTAAGGTTATCCTTAGCTCCATAGTGAGTTCAAGGCTAGCCTGGGCTACATGAGAGCTGACTTTATTTTATTTTTGAAGGGCTACAAGATCTCCTCTCCCATATTTTTTCATTTAAATATGATTGACAGTTTGCTCATTGAGAGGTGGGTCTGTCTTCTTCCCCTTCAGCTGGGATGAACCTCTGACTCTGGCAGGAAGTGACAGTATATAACTTTGAAGGCTTCATCATACGAGGTGACATTGCTTTCTAAGAATCCTGTTGCCATGCTGTGAGGAAGTCAAGGCCATTCAAACAGGTCATAGGTAGGTGGGTGTCATGGCCATTGGGATCCTAGATGACAGGCACACATCACCAGATGAGGAAGAGTCCAAGAGAGACCTACCCAGCTGGTCCTCTGAATCCTTGAAACTGAGAGAATGGATATTTTGAGGCAAAAGTTTGGAGTGTCCTTGCTTAGTAAGCATAGCAGAAGGGCAGACAGGGATTTAGTGACATGATGTAACTGGTCCCAGGATCCTGCTGACATGTGTGGGTCCAGGTCTTGAGCCTGTACCCTCCTATCTCCTAATCCTGAAGCCCTCTGGTTTCTGGGATGGCTCTGCCTCTGGAGAAAGACCCGTTTCCTGTTCAGCAGGAAACATCAGGATGAACTCAGCCAGAAGTGACCACAGAAGTCTACAAGGACAGGCATACCCAGACACACATGTGTGGTTTATTACGCACAGCACCTTTACACAGAGAGGGATGTGAGGCCGTGGATGGAGCGGGTAGCTAGGGTCCTTTGTTAGAAGTGTTGAAGCCCCTACTCAGAGGGCAGGGTTTTCTGTCACAGGTGTTTTGCTCAGGCTTGCAGGGACCAGCCTTTGGGTTCTTGGTATCTGTACCACCTTCTAGGTGGCCAGTTTCTGCCAGGCTGACCAGAGTTTTAGGTGGGAGACAAGGCCAGTGAGACCCAAGTTCTGACCAAGAGGCCTGTCTCCTCAGGGTTGATAAAGTCCCCTCTCTGTTCCTTCTCTGGGTGAGGTGAGGAGACTGGAAGTAGCAACTAGTGTATCTGGTCTCTTTACCCTACAGCCAGGGGTTACTGAGCTGCCTGCAGCTGGCTCCACACTGAGGTATTCACAGAGCCCTGCCATTCCTGAGGCCTGAGGATACAAGCTCCTGTGACAGGGTGGCTTCTGGAAGACTACTGAGCTTGGGTAGAGCAAAACCCTCTTGGAGTTCCTTCCATTGCCTTCTCCCCAAGTGCTGGACTTGAGGAATCTTCACCTGCCCCATTGAACACAGGGTCCCAGTGCAGCTGCCTGTGGCAGGGGCCAGAGGCCAGGGTCCAGAGGCAAGAAGTTACAGCAGTCATCCAAGGGGGTCTTGTTGGACAGTGAGAAGTTGGGGCAGTGGGGTGTCAGGGAACAGTTGTGTGTCTCTGCTAATCAGGTGATTGCAGGCCCAACCTGGAGTCTGTCCAGCCTCACCTGAGCTAGGCATTTTCACCTTCGTCATCTCTAGGAAAGCCAGGCCCTGCCAGGGGTCCTCAAACACATTTCCCCACAGCAGCCTGTCCGCTTTCCTGCCGGCTTCCTGTGCAGGTTGTCCTGGGGCTGGTTGGCACACTCTTGAATGTTACAAGGCCACCGTTGGTGCATCCCATAAAGGAGATCAATATATTACTGTTTTGTTTTTACACAAGTTAAAAACATCCAAATGGATCTGTACAGGTTGGGAGCCATGTCTGAGGATCACTGGAAAAGGAGGGGGAGACAGAAGGTGACGGAGGGGCCTAGAGAGGTCCTTGTGGCCCTCACCAGCAACCTCTTCCCTGATGATTTCTTTAGGAACAAGTGTAGCCCCACCTTTCTTTCCAGGTCCCTTTCAGTGGGGCAGTTGGGATAAGTCCCAGGATGCTCCCCAATGGCTTTCAATTGGCAGGGCCAGATGTCAACCAAGACCCAGATGACCAGTAAGGCAGATGACACACATCAGCCAGGATCAAGCTCCAAGCCTTGGCCATGTGACCACAAAGTCAAAGACATCGTTGGAAAACCTGACTGTTCAGGCACTGTGAGACAGTAGTACTGAGACTCAAACCTCTGTGCGATGGTGCCTGGTCCCGATGGGTCCTCCCTCTCCCTCTAACTCTCCCATCCCAACTCCTCCAGGCCCACCCTTGAGACCCTTTCCTGAAAGGTACCTTATGCCAGCAGCCAGGCACGGGCAGGCCATCAGGACCCTGGAAGAAAAGGAGGTTTAAGTGATAGGGGCAGGAGGCTGATGACCTGTCAATACCTCCTCCACCCTTATTGGAACTCTAGGGAGATGCAGCTAGGGAGCAGCTACTTGAAGTCACTGGACTCCACTAAGGCAGGGTTGGGTGTCTCCTTTGTCCATCTGATGACATAATGTGCCCTCATTGCACTTGTCCTGTCCTCTCATGATGCTTTGTGGGGACACTTGAGTAGTGGACAGAAATAGGACACTCTGATATAATGGGCCCTGTGCTAGACATTTGCCAGCCAGAGGAGGGTGTGATCCTATGAAAAGGGTGGCGTGGCTTCCTGCCTGCTAGAAGTGACATCTTGGGGGCTCTGAAAGCTTTCAGGCTTTGGGTAGGAATGTCTCCAAGAGAGAGCAGTGCAGGAGGTGGCATCTCTCCAGCCTTTCCTGGCCACTTTGATTGGATCTGGGAGGCAGACAGTGTTATCAGGATGAACCCTGGGCATCAGAGATGGGGTTGTCTGGAAACTTCAACAATGTCCACCCACTCATCAGACATGAGCATGCATGGGTTTCCTCAGGTAGCCTGGAGGGCTGGAGAGCCAGAGGTGAACAAAATGTCAAGTCCCTGGGGGACCCTGAGGCAGAAACACTCCACTCTGTTCCAAAGCACAGATACAGGGAAAACACATGGGACCCCCTTCCAAGTACATGCTGGGGTACAGTTTGGGGACCAGGGGGTGAGGAGAGGAGAAGAGGGGTAGAATGCACTAGAAGGCGGAAGTGAGGAAGAGATGGGGTGGAGTCAGCCACCCAAAGCATCCCAAAAGGCCCAGCATTGCACACACAGCACACAGCAGCCAGACTGCATACCACAGGGCATGGCCCAATGCCCTTCACAAGGCCCCGGGAGCCTGGTGCCCCTCGTTTGCCTCCACATCGAGGATGTTCCTGTGTTAAAGACAAAGGCTTACTCACATGGAGGAAGTCTGGGGCCAGGCTCTGGGGAAGCAGGGCTGGGTTCTCAGCCTCTAAGCTGTCTCTTTGTGTTTGTGTGTATGTCTCTGTGTGTATGCATGCATTTGTGTACACATGAATGTGGAGGTCAGGTCCTCAGGCACCTTCTTCTGTTTGAGACAAGGTGTCCATTGGCCTGGAACTCTGCCAAGTAAGCTAGGTAAACTGGCCCGTGGGCTCCAGAGATTTGCCTGTTTCCACCTTGCCAGCACACATCACCATGCCTATCTTTCCACGTGGGTTCTGGGAATCTGAACTCAGGTTTTCACACTTGCAAGGCAAGCAAGTCACTACTTGAGCCATGTCCTCAGGCTCTGGCTGTCTGTTTTTGAGACAGAATCTCACTATGCAGCAGAGACCTCAAACTTCTCATCCTCCTGCCTCAAGCTCCTGAGTGCTGGGATTCCAGGCTTTTTACTTTCTCTCACTAATATCTCAGACCCACCAGAAGGAGGAGAGCAAGGTACAGAGATTTGGAGGAACTCACTGGCGGCCAGAGGATGGAGCAGAGGTCCTGACCCTGGGTCAGTTTGCCTATTCCCCAAAGCCCTGAGGAGGGATTTTCCTTTTTGAGCACTGCTTATAGACCATGATATGTAAACCCTCCAGCTTTCTAAAAAACAGGAACTGAACTGTGGGAGTTTCACTAGCAGATCTAGTGGGTTATCAAGAGCTATTGCCAGCAGGAAATGAGAAAGATAAGCGAGGAGGAAGGAAGGAAGGACCGCATGTTTACAGAGGGCCTGAGAAGAGGCTGGATTAGCTGCAGGGAAAAAAAAAAAAGATACCAGGAGGAAAGGTGCGGAAGGAGAATGAGAGGCCCAGGGTTCTCCCAGTTCCTGAAGAAGTTCCAGCTCAGACCAGCCCGGTCTCAAGTCCATAAAAAGTCAGACCCCAGGGAAGCCATGGGGGCTGGTCACTCACTGACTTTGTGACACACACACCAAAGCTGTGTGTCTGCTGGACTTCCCTTCCCAGCCCCTAGCCCCCTCCCAGGGCACCACCAAATTACTGATGACTCTGGAAAAAGCCAGCTCTGTTCCTATCTGGGTTCTTCTCTACCCCTACCCAAGGTTAACCTGCAATGGGTCTCCACTCAGGGTTGAATAAATAGAAATAACCAGGGGTTAAACATTTCCTGGCCAGGCCTCCAACACCACAGATGGCTGCATCTTTCAGCCACACTAGTGGAAGTATCAGGTCCACAGCACAAGCAGCTGTAATGTTGGAAATGGCTTCTATGGCTGGTTGGAACTTCATGCTGCTGAGACACCTACCACAGGGCATGGCTGGTCAAGGCCCGGTGGGCCGGGCTCACCCTTCTGGCCCTTCACTCCTTTCCGGCCAGGAACTCCTCGATCCCCCTGCATCAGAAGGAAATGGTAGGATAGCTGTGTTGCCAGGCTTGGGACCCCTCCACCTGTGAGGAGTCCCAGGGTCCAGCAGCCACCAGGCTCTGCAGTGGTTAGCACAGCCTCCGCCTCCCCACCTGCTTGCCCCATTTCCCATCTCCTTCGCCCTCACCTTCTCTCCACGTTCACTCCGGTCGCCCTTTTCTCCCCTGGGTCCAGGGAAACCCTGACAGACGGATGAAAAGTTAAACCTGAAGTGAGGACCAAGCCCACTTCTCTGTGACGTGACACCTCTGCTCTTCTCTCATCCATCTATCATCATCCTTTGTCGACACATAACTGTGGCACAAACTACCAGGCTCTGGCTGGCTAGCCTGTGTGCGTGCTGGGTCCCAGATGTGCACAGGGAAGAGTACATTTAGGGCCCAGCTCTGTTCCTGGCTGGAAATCCTCAAGGAGGTATATCTAGAGCTGCTAGAGAGGGGTTTTTCCTCCTGTCATAGCCAGACATAGATGGCACTGGCCCAGGGTTAGCTGGGACAGAGGAAACCCACAAAAGTCATGTGGCCATCTTCAACAGTCCGAGAGAAGGTCACCTGTGCTCTCTGCCCTTGGCTCAGTGTCTTCTACACTCATCTCTTAGTCTAATGTCCATCTACCCAACCTCATGACTAAGCAACCCAATAGAGCCCAGGCTGCAGACTAGATGCTGGGACAGAAATGGATTTGGTGTGTTTCCTCCATTATGTCTTCTGGGGCAGGCTATGGAGTGTAGATGAGCATCTTGCTCAGGCACAGACCTATGAGACAGATGTGGTAGGGCAATAGGCTGTTCAGATAAGGGGAGGGTACCACAGCAAGCTGCTGAGGAAATTACCGTCCAGCTGGGTGAAGAGGGTTGGGACTTGCTAGACTACAGAGAAGGCTCTTAGATGCCACACTTAGCTCCTGCCCTCTTAGGAGGCGGCTGAGACCACCCCATAGCTGCTAAGAACCTCTTTAGCTTCCCCTCTTAGCCTCCCTGGGTCCAGAGCCTGAATGGGTTCAGCATGGTTACTTTCCAGCTGCCACTTTCCAGCTCTGTCTCATCAATGGAAAATGACCCTCCCAGTCAGGAGCCTGGCTGGTCTCTCTCCTCCTGGCCCATGTTTGCTTACCATGGCAACAACAATCTCTCCTTACAGTCCAGGGCATCCCCAGAAGACTGGCATCTCTGTACCCATTTCCCTCTCCTGCCTCATGACCTCTCTGGACTCCTTGCCTTCTCACTGACCAACCAGGTGACAGGGATCAAGCCTGGCCAGAGAGCACACTGCACTCCTATAATCTAATAGGAGCTCAGGGTTGATTTGCTGCTCACCAGCAGAGGGAGGCAAATCTTCCTACTGATTGGGTCCAGGGAGATACTTGTTTGGAGGGAGGGACTGGCTGAACCAGATCTCTGGTGATTCCCACACTGGGAAGGCAAAGACCAGAGAGGGAGGGGGCTGGGCAATGTTGACATGGCTGTGCCCTGAATACATGTGTTAAATCCCTAGACTTTTCAATTGTGAGTCATTTTAAGCACTATTTGAACTATTTTTTGTTTATGTTGTGTTACCAAAGGAGGCCTGGCATTTCCTCTTGTCTCCTCACAATGCTGCCCTAACCAAGGTCTCATTACTGGTCATCAACACATTGCAACAACCTCCTTACTTCTCTCCTCACCTCCCTTTTACAGTGTTCCTTCCATCCATCCATCCATCCATCCATCCATCCAATCATCCCTAATGGCTATCATTCCCGTCCATTAATCTACCTTTACCCATCCATTAATTAATCCATTCCCTGCCATTTCTCCATCATTCTCCTCCTTCAGCCACCAACCCCTTCAGCCATCCATTCCCTTTAGCCATCATCCATTGTCCATCTGTCTGTCTGTGTCTATCCATTGTCTACCATCCATCAAACCATTTGCTCATCCATCCATTCTCTTCTCATCCATCAAGTTGTGTCAGTTTTCCACTGTCCCTTTGTTGTCAACCTATCACCAATCCCCAGAGTACTCCAGGGCATGTCACTGGACTTTGCACTGAGGACAAGGGAAGCCAGGCAGCAGCAGCCCTCGGGGATGGGACACACTTGAGCTAACCAGGTTGCCGTATGCATGGGCAACATGAGAGCAGAAGACATACACAGGAGGGCCCAGTCACTCACAGTGAATCATAAGAAACTTACATCGAGTCCTGGCTCTCCAGGTCTGCCCTGAGGAGAGATACAGAGGGCATGTGAGGGGGTGGAGATGGGATGTTAGGTACTCAGGTGCTGGGGAGTTTAGCCCAGTGGCTTGTAACAGACAAGGGGCAGGGCACGATGGTATCACAGAGTGCCATAGTAATTGGTCCCATGGGGTCCAGGGACTCAGCAGGGTACAGGGGATGAGCCCCCAAAGTTGAGTGACATTAAGGATATGTGATCACAGTGGTCAGGGGCCTCAAGGTAAGGCAGTTACCTTCTCTCCTTTGGTTCCTGGTAACCCAATAAGGCCTGGTGGGCCAACTGGTCCCTGGGTAGAAAATGAGAGTGTCAGCAGGCATAGGGGGCATAGGATGCTACACCTCTGAGACAAACAAAGCTCATGACACTCACAGGCAGGCCGTGAGGACCTCTCTCACCCAATGCACCCTTCTCTCCCTTGGCTCCATCCAGGCCCTGGAAGTGAAGAGGAAAACCAGTCAGGGGAGGGGGAGGGGAAGACAGGATGGGTCTGTGTGGAGATAGAGGTGTGAATGGCAGATAGAAGAGAGAGACTCCAGGCTCTGGCAGGCCTGGCCCCAGTTTGCTCCATGATAGAGTGAGTTGCATGTGTGTACATTTTCCCTTCTTCCACACACGGGGCCCCCTGATGTCATCATTATGCTACAGAAGCAGTTTGTCTGACAGCCACCAGTTTCTTGAAGCCCAGCCTTGGACCAAGACCGTCAATAAATGTCTCTTCAAACAATGGTGTGTTGAAGCTTGGGCCAAACTAGGATCATAAACAGTACTTGGCTACTACACCAGGTCAGGGTTCTGTGACCCAGGGTCCTCCACAGGGCCTCTGCGATGGGGAGGGAGAGATTAGATCCTGTATGACAAGAGGTGAGGCCAGCTAGTCTTTTATTCTGTTTGCCTCCCTTGGGGCCGGCACATGGCAACACAGTTGAGGTTTTGATTTAAGAGACCAGAATGTGACATTATGAAATGCATACCAAACCCAAGACTTCAAGTCCAGGTGGTGGACAGTCAAGATGCAGATGTGCGTGGGCAAGCGCTGGGGGGAGACAAGGAGTGGAGAGCAGAGGAAGGTGGCAGGGACAATGGGTGGAGATGGGCAGGAAGGGGGACTAGGCAGAGGCATAAGGAAAGGACAGAGCCCAAACATGGGACGGGGCTGCTCTGGGGACATTGTTCAGGGCACTGGTAACATGGCAGCTGAGCAGGAACCTCACGTTGTTCATTAATAAAAATTTCTGAATGAATAGGTTGTCTGCACTCACCTTGGGACCCTGGATCCCCTGGAGGCCCTGGAAGAAGAAAGCAGATCAGTAGGGCTGAGTGAAAACTTAAGGCCAAGACCCTCTTGAATCGGGCTAGTCACTAGCTCCTTGGCTCTGCCAAGAGCTCTGACCTCTTGACCTGATGTGCACAGCCCCCCTCCTCCCCAGAGAAGCCTTTCCTCCCCTGAGCCACTTCCCCACCTCTGACTCAGGTTCACTAACCACTTGGTATCCCAGCTGCTTTAGGTTGAAATGTCCTTACCATGGGGCCAGGGGGGCCAGGAGGACCAGGTTAAAATGTCCTTACCATGGGGCCAGGGGGGCCAGGAGGACCGGGTGGCCCTGGCTCCACAATGATCTGGGCCTAGGAAGGGTTAAAAATGGGTTAGTTACCCTGTGCCTATTACCCGTCATCTGCTCACCCTCTGGAATTCCCCTCATTCTTACAAGCACTCCTGGTGCCATACCCTAGACCCCTGGGCAAGGCTCCTTCCTGCCCCCAGAGAGGTGTAACTTGGTGAAGGACCCCAGTGTTTTGGGTCTCAGCTGGAAGTGAGGTGGAGGATATAATTTGAGGTTCCATCACTCCTAACTTTCCCACTGTCCTTCTCTGTAACCAAGGCTCAGGATTCCCGCAAGGTGTGGGCTGGATGTGTGTGGGGGCAGTCTCAGCTTCCCCTTACCAGGCTCTCCTGGAGGCGATCAGATGCTGACTCTCCTTTTTCTCCCTTGGGACCGTCAGCACCCTAGGGCAGAGTGGCCTGTGAGCTCTTGTTCATCTTAAGGTCACCTCCCCCCACACTGTGCTCAGCGCCAACCTCCCCGACCAGGGCAGTGACAAGTTGGCCTCCTCTGTTTAAAGCAGTTTCCCCCAAATCACATGCCCTGAGTAAGGAGCAGAGTATGTCAATGGCAGACAAACTGTCTCATGGTGCAGAGGTCAAGGGTTCAAATCCCAGTGGCACCTCTGGCTGAGTCATCTTCAGGGGTGCATAGGGACTGTGAGGTAAGTAGCTTTTCCAATGTGGCCCCAGGAGCCATAGAAATGCTAATGATAGTTGGGGATGTTTACTGCCAGCTACTATTCTTGGCCCTGTCCAGTTCATACTGTAACTAGGACTGGAAGCTTGTTATTCTACGTTGGCAGTGAGACCTTGGGAGATTCAGTTGCTATGCCAGGCTCCAGGACTGAGAGGTGAGTTGGGCCACTGAGCCACCCAGCTAAGTGGTTTCTGCCAGGCTAGGCCTCACTACCTCCCCTGCAGGGCTCCTGTGGGGATGTGAACTCCTTCTATAGCTGAGGTTGTGTAGGCTGCAGGGCATTCATGTGAGGACGCCCACTCCCCCATCTCAGCAAGTCCCCAGGGTGGGGTCCAGTCTAGTCACCTACCGGAAGACCTGACAGGCCCATCTCGCCTGTCTCCCCTTTGGGTCCAGCTGGCCCAGGCTCTCCTGGGTCCCCTTTTGATCCTTTGGGGCCCTGAAAGCCACCAGAAAAAGGAATCAATGGAGATAGGTGGGCATTCTCCTCTCCCCTGACCCTTGTGGGTCTTTCAGCTTAATAACTTTGACCATATACCCTACCTTCCTCGTTAATTCATTCATTTGTTCATCTGTTCATTTCTATCTCTCCCCATCTTCGTCCTCTTTTTTTTTTTTTTTTTTTTTTTTTTTTTTTTTTTTTTTTTTACCTTGAGTTCTTACAGGTGTGTGTGTGTGTGTGAGCACATCTAAGCCTGCCCTCCACTTTTTGCGTGTGAGTTTCCATCTCTAGTCTAGGTTGCTAGGAACATTGACTGAATAAAGTAGGGGTGCTATGGGGCCACTCCAACTCTGCTTTCCTGTATGCTTGGAGCAGTTTATGAGATAAGGGTGGATGGGGAGCATGTGGAATTGGCGTGTTCCCTCTGGGACACTCATGAGTCTTTTGCTTTATTTTCAATTAAAAGTTTTGTTTGTTCCTATTTTATGTGTATGAATGGATGTTTTACATGTATGTCTGTGTACCACTTGAGTGCAGTGCCCATAGAGGCCAGAAGAGAGTTGGATCCTCTGGGACTGGAGTTACAGATGGTTGTGAGCCTCAAAGTGGGTGTTGGGAACCAAACCCAGGTCCTGTGTAAGAGCAGTGAGAGCTATTGATCACTGAACTCTTTCCAGTGCCCCTCCCCATTTTTTTTTTTTCTGAGACAGAGTTTCTTTGTGCAGCCTTGGCTGTCCTGGAACTTACTATGTAGACCAGGCTGGCCTTGAACTTACAGAGATCTGCCTGCTTCTACTTCTACTGGGATTCAAGCGGTGTGCCACCATGCCTGGATATCAGCCCCTTATTTTCAATAATGTATGTATGTATGTATGTATGTATGTATGTATGTAGTGGTGCTGGGGCTTGAACTTATGGCTTCAGGGATGCTAGGCAAGTGCTCTATTGCTGAGTTTCAGTCCTCATAAAGCCAACTCTTTGCTCATGTGTCATGAGCTTTGTGTGACAGTGCTTCTTCACTCAACCAATTATGACATGTCCAAGCTGTTCCTCCTACTAGGGACCCAGCAATAAAGATTCATCCACACACATTGAGTGACACCTGGGGAGATGCTCACTGATGTCTACATAGTAACACACAGACATAGACACATACACACACACACACACACACACACACACACACACACAAACACAAACACACATAGACACAGACACAGACACACACACACACCACCCAGTACAGCATTGACATAGAAATGAAAGGCTCAGAGACCTTCTCTCCATCGATTCCTGGGGCACCAGGCAATCCAAGTTCACCCTAGAAAGTAACAAATGGGAAAAGGAATTGTGCCTTCCTCAATGGTCAGTGGGTTAGTGACCCAAGGTGTGAACTGCCGTCTCCCCGATCAGTTTACAGTCCCTGGGTTGGGTTCCTGCAGATGGACTTCCTAGAAGGTGCCCATTGTCTCTCTTTGTGTATTCAGCCTGAAGGGCAGCTAGAGCTGGTGGCTGTCCCTGCTGGCTGGGTGCCTAAGATTGCAGGGTTCAGTGACTTGCTCTAGGTCATGGAGTCCAGGGCTGCTGGTATCAGAACTAGATCCTGCCCACCCCTGGATTCTTTGTCCTGAGACAAGGAATGATGAACAAGTACAAGCAACAGAAACGTTGTATACATCTGTGGGCCACTATAAGTCACAAGAAGTCCATTCTTCATTTTCAGGCCCTCCCTTCAAGAACTAGGGTCTAAAGAAGGAATTTGAATTACTTATGAAGGGGCAGGACCCCTTTCTCCAAGCCCCATAAGCGAGGCTAGTATGCCAGGAGGAAATTAGGGGTATATATATCAGGGATGAGAGGAGAAGTGGGACCTAGAGATTAATACTTGGGGGGTCCCATGAATGCAGCTACACCAACCTTGGCTCCAGGGATCCCTGGTGGCCCGGGAGCTCCCTGTGGCCCAGGAGGACCCTGTATGTAAAAGATCAAGCCAGTTATGGTTATGCAAGACCCTCCATTGCCCACCAAGCCTCACCACCTCAGGTCAGATCCCCAGCAGCGTGCTTCCCGCCCAGTCAAATTGGTTCTAATAGCATGCAGCTTGCTTTGGCCTTCAAGTCTACAGAGGGGCCAGTAAGAGGGTACTGGCCATTGGAGGAGATAGTGGTGTCCATGGCTGGAGGTCCCTCTGTCTTCAGAGAAATGCTCCTCAAACATGACTTTCTTTATAACATTTTCCTGCTTAAGATTTGGCAGTGGTTTCCCTTGTCCCTCAAAAGAAGCTTAAGTGTCTTTCTAGCATTCAAGACAGGCCAAGCATGCAACCTGAACAACAGTCTGGTCCTGCCTGCTCTGCTGGTCCTGGGACCTCACTGACTGTCTGGATCTGTTGTCTGCTGCCCCAGAAGTTCCCCAGTGACACAGTAAAGGATGTATCCACACAGTCTCAAGTGCTGACCTCATTCTAGGCTCTTGTACCAACACTGAGATGGCCAACTCATGCTCTCACCCAGGGGCCACACCTTGCCCAGCACCTCTGACCCTGTTTCAAATTCTCCTCTTCCCAACTGTCCCCCTTCTTTCTAAAAAAGATTTTATTTAGGGAAAAAAGATTTTATTTATTTACTTATTTATTATGTATACAACATTCTGCTTCTACGTATAACTGCACACCAGAAGAGGGCACCTGATCTCATAACGGATAGTTGTGAGCCACCACGTGGTTGCTGGGAATTGAACTCAGGACCTCTGGAAGAGGAGCCAGTGCTCTTAATCTCTGAGCCATCTCTCCAGCCCAAATGTCCCCCTTCTTGTTGATGTCCCTACTCTGACGGCTCTGGGCTTATTCTCCAACCTTCCTACCTTCTTTAGGTCCAGGCTCAGCACCCATGTCCCCAGTGAGCTCCCTGCTTCAAACTCTTCCCATATCAATGCTCACACAGTTACACAACTCCACCTGGTCACCCCAGTACACTGGTAGTTTCTTATCTTTACACTTAATAACCAACTACAGCTCCCCTTGCTCGTGACTCTGAGTCCTCTTCCTACTCTGGTACCCACATCTACCTCCTAGCTCTCAGTACTCATAAGGATGTTTCTCATAAGCCTGGGATATACCATGCACCTTAGGCCCATATCACACCACACCACACCACACCACACCACACCACACCACACCACATCATGTAGGCCAGTGTGGGTCATAGTTACCATCAACTTGTACTTCCCAGAGGCCTGTGGGAGGTAACTGGAATTAATGCTGAGGCTGAGTTGAGCACTAATGCCCACTTTAGTCTCGGATGACTACCTCACCCCATTCTATCCCTCCCTGAACCCAAGAGCAGCTGGCACCCATCTCTTTTTGGACTGGTGCCCAGAGACCATGTGGGTCCTGAGGCTTCTGGGTCAGGCTTGTTCTTTTTGTCCCTTACAGATTATGAGAAACTCTAGCTCTCCTGACAGTGGTACCTGGAAGTGCCCAGAGGAACAGTTGTGTTTGGGGAGAGTGCTTTCCTTTTTTTGCCTTGGCTTGTGGGAAGCTCAGGGTTCTCTGATTCACATTCACAGAAAGTCTCTCAGCACCGTGTGGATCTCCACACAGGACTAATTTCCACATTAGGTACCCGATGAAACCCAGGTCTCTGTGCTAAACTGTGCTTTGTCCCATAGGTAAGACACAGTGAGCCATTGCTCCCTCAGAAATGGACATAAAGGGTACATCCAGGGCCCACCAGGAATACTCTTACCTTCAGGGCATCTAAGATCCTGCCATCATAGTCGATTACCACTGTGTCACCTTGTTCTCCCTTGAGGCCTGGGGGACCCTGAAGCAGGAGAGGAAAGAGCTGCATCATGGGTAATATAGCAGCTGTCTCCATCACATCTAGAGATGAACCCAAGAGTTTGCCATCCACCCAGGCCACAGGCATGCTTGTGCACCACGGTCATCATAGCATGCCATCTGTTCATTAAAGGTCACATGAAGGAAGTGGTGGGGAGCCTAGGGCCAACTGAAGAAAGAACAGGCTGCCACTTGGCCTGAGGGGTTGCCTATGATTTGCCTTCATGTGGGTATTCAAATCCAATGAGGTCCAGCTCTAAGGAAAACAGAAAGCCCAATGCCATTAATGTTTTAGGGACAGGGTCTCACTGTGTAGCCCTATCTATCTTGGAACTTGCTATGTAGACCCTGCTGGCCTCTAAGTCAGATCTACCTGCTTTTGGCTCTCAAGTGCTGGGATAAAACACATTCACCACTATGCTCAGTTTGTGTGTGTGTGTGTGTGTGTGTTAAGATCTCTAGGCCAGGTTGGCCTCAAACTTTGTATATAACTTAGAATGGCCTTGAACTTCTGATTTTTCAGTCTCTACCTTCCTGTGCTGAGACTTTAGGTGACAGGTGTGCACTACCAAGCCTGGTTTATGCAGTGACAGTGATTAAACCTAAGCTTTGAGCCAGGGCTTTGTGAATACCAGGGAAGCACTCTAGGGTCTGAACTGTATCTGCAACCTAGAAAGCTTCATTTTGGTAGGGAGTTCATGAGACTTTTAAATGTGTCCAAATAAAACAACCCCAACTGCCCCAAATCCCTTCTAAGACACTGTATTGACCAAAGGAGGCTGGTTCTACCTTATTGAATTACTGAGCTCAATTAAATCCAGAGTTCACTGATATGGCTAGTCTTGCAGGCCAGTTTGATCTGGGGATCCCCTTTCTACACTTTCTACGGAATTATGTGTTGGTCACCTCGCCCACCCACTTGGTTGTCACATTCGCTTGCTGAGTGCTTTTAGCTGAGCCATTTCCGGACAGAGGGTATGTGATGGCCTGGGAAAACATAGCCAAGGATGGGATGCTACAGTCAGCATAAAGACATGTCCACGAAAGGCAAGATAGCTATCTAGGGAATGCAAGGGATATGGGAAGGGAGAGGGCCCCTCACTCTTCTTGGCTTCCATTCTGATCTCTCCCTGGCTGACACCTGGGAGTTTTCATTCTGACAGACAAGATCATCTACAAAAAGAGCTGTACTCTTCCTGAGAAGCTTCCCAGACTGGATGGCTGAAAGGTTCTAATGAACTGTGCCTCAAGGCCAACCTTCTTGTGGCATTTGTATAAAGCAGTCGTTTGATCTATGCTTTCTCTCTCCTCACTCCCTCTTCCAGCTGCAAGCTTTCAGTGTACAAAAAGAAAAGGTCTCCTCAAGGACAGAATTTTGTGGGCAAGGAAACAAAATATCCCAGCACATGGTTTTCCCAATGTCTAAGCTTAGTCCTAGATTAAGTAGCTTTAAAATCCCAGGTCACATATATAGCTGAACCACTTAGGTACATTCCTCTCTAAATGGCTGCACTCAATTCTCTTCAAGTACATAACTTTCTGCTTCATAAACAAACACACTAAAAAAACCCTCTGCTTTCCTCTTGGGACTGGAGAGATGGCTCAGTGGGTAAGAGTGCATAATGCTCTTGCAGAAGACCTGAGTTTGGTTCCCTGCACGCCTATAAGGCAGCTCACAACCACCTGTAACTCCAGCTCCAAGGGATCTGATGCCCTCTTCTGGCCTCTGCAGGCACTGCACTCACATGCACAAACCCCCACACAGGTACATGTATATATACATAATTAAAAAGTAATGTCTGTGGTGTATGTCAAGGACCAGGGTGTACCTGAGTAGAGTCCCTCAGGCTCTGAATGGGACTCCTTAGGCTAGACTGCTGGCAGCATTGGGTTACATTTTCAGGTCCTGGTGACAGAGAGGAGTTGGTTACAAATGATGTGGGGCTAGGGGCTGGAGAGATGGTTCAGCAGGTAAGAGCACTTGCTTTTCTTGCAGAAGGCTTGGGAAAGCAAGACCACCCCAAAGCAGGCAATGTCAAGCCTAATGATAAACTGAAGACTAGTGTTTGAATAGGGAACAAGATTCTACAAGAGTATGTAGTTACCTGGGAAGGGAGAAAGCTCTTACTTAACAGCAAGTGGGATTCTTCCCTTTATATATCCATATTTTAATTTTCACTGTAGGCATGTGTTATGAAAAATTTTACAACCACTAAGAAACAAGATGTCCCTAGATCTTGTTGCTTCACCAATTCTTTGGGACCACTGTTGGGGACAAAGGGCTTCTGAAGCTACTGGGACCCTGGATCCCACCAGTGTGACCAGAAGGGATGCTGCTTACCCGGGGCCCTGCGGATCCATCTGCACCTGGGTGGCCCGGCTCCCCCTGTGGAGACACATAGACATGCTGGCATGTGAGATTCTTATACCCTATCTCACCTCTGGTCCCCTCTTCCCTAAAGAATCCAGGCCGATGAACTGGGACCTCATAGCCTATGTATAAGAACAGCCTTCTGCACAGAGTAGTAGTGGAGATTCCAAGGCCCAGGAGCCCAAGACTACATGATAGCTGACCTCAGAGCTGGGCCTAAGTGAGGTCTTGTTGCTGGCTCTCAACTATGGGCCGCCCTCCCTCAGACCACTGCTTGTGAGTCAAAAGGGACCCTTGGTCCAGGCCCTTTGGGACCTCGCTTTTTAAAAGTGCAAATTAAGGGGTAAGATCACATCATCCCCTGGTGATTGGGTGACGGTGTCAATGGGGCCTTCAGGTACTGGGCAGAACATTGTGATATCACCTTCAGTCCTGGGGCACCGTCCACTCCATTCTCTCCTTGGGGCCCCACATCTCCTGGCTCACCCTGAAATTGAGAAATTATCAGTGAAAGCAAGCAGAGGTGCTAGCCTGGAGCCACGGGGCCTTGTGCTTAGGCCTCCTAGTGAACGTGGTCCTTCTGGGCTGGGAGACGGAGGTCAAGTCTCTCCCTAGTCCAAGGGATTTAGGATCATGATAAACCCTTCTAGTCTGGGTCTTGGCACAAACTTGGGGCAGCTCAAGAGACAGTGTGTGTTTGTGTGTGTGTGTGTGTGTGTGTGTGTGTGTGTGTGTGTGCAGATGCACATGTGTGTGCAGATGCACATAAAAGTGTGGACGTCGGGACCTCTGGGTGTCATTCCTTAAGCACCACCCATAGTTTCTTTGTTTTTGTTTTTGAGACAGGATGTATTTCCCTGGCCTGGAAATCACTACACTGGTAAACCTGGCAGCCACTAAGCCCCAGGGAGCTGTTGGTCCACCTCCTCAGTGCTGAGGAGCTACCATGCTTGCTTTCTTAAATAAATAAACTTACTTTTTTATTTATTTACTTATTTTTGGGTTTTTTTTCGAGACACAGTTTCTCTGTGGCTTTGGAGGCTGACCTGGGACTAGCTCTTGTAGACCTGGCTGGTCTTGAACTCACAGAGATCCACCTGCCTCTGCCTCCCGAGTGCTGGGATTAAAGGCGAGTGCCACCACTACCCGGCCAATAAACTTACTTTTTAAATTTAGCTTTTGAGACAGCTCTGGCTGTCCTAGAACTCACAGAGATCCACTTGCTTCTTTTGGAGTGCTGGGATTAGATGAAAGTGCCATCACACCTAGCCCCCCTTTTAAAAATGTTGGTTCTGGAGATCAAATTTATGTCCTTGCGCTTGCAAGGCAGACATTTTAATGACAGCAATCTCTTCAGTGTCTTGGGCTTTTTTTTTTTTTTCTTCTTGAGTCAGAGTCTCACTTTGAAGCATAGACTAGCCTCAAACTCAGATCCTCCTGCCTCAGCCTCTGAGTGCTGAGATTATGGGTGTGTACCACCATGCTTGGTCCAAGAGACATTTTGGAGGAAGGCTGGCAAGGGCGTGGTGGCTGTGACAAATGGTTTGGGGATCAAGGTGTGAAGATAACATCCTATTCCCAGCTTGGCACTAGGCAGGGGATGGAGGGACTAAGGTGGGAACCAAGAGGACTTAGGGTAAGGGGAGACTGATGGCCTGGATGAGAAGCCAAGTTGCTGCCAGGGTGTCTGGAGCCCACTGCTTTTTCCCTCTGGCCTGTCCTGGGAATTGGCCCACAGCCCCATGATGTGAAAGGGCCAGGATTAGGGGCATCTCTAGGTAGACGGTAACTTTGGAGGGTGGAGGGTAGAGGAAGAGGGTGTATACTTACCTTGGGCCCTGGGGGTCCAGGGAGTCCTGGCTGGCTGGGCATCCCATCATCTCCCTGAGAAGATAACAGCTGAGGCTGAAGGTGGACATGTTGGCCACATTTTGAGTGGTCCAGCTGGCCCCTACCTGCTCTAGTCTCGCTGCACACCTGTCTGGTCCAGGCAGGCACTCCCCGCACTTAGCCCTCTAAGGCAGGGTCTGAGTCAGAACCATCTCAGTCCCTACAAGCAGCCTAGAACCAGCTTCAGGAGGTTTCTGCAGACACGGGATGGACAAGTGAACGGGAGCAAGTGAACTGATTCAGCAAACAGCTGGTGAGCATCCTTAGGGACAAGAGCATGGACAGTCCCTGATCCCTAGACACGAGGGCAATAAACAGAAGGCACTGTGCCTAGAAGGAGACGGTGGGGAAAGCACGTGGAGAGGAACTCAGGGCAGCCTTCTGGAGCATGGGGCAGTGTATCCTGAAGCTTGCTTTGATGGTTGTGAAGCTTTGGAGTCCACCTATTTCTGCCTCTCAATGCTGAGGTTACAGACACACACAGCCATGCCTGGCTTTTCCCTTGGGTGCTAGGGATTCTTACTCAGGTCCTCATGCTGAACCATCTCCCCAACCACTGAACCATCTCCCCAGCCACTGAACCATCTCCCCAACTCCTAGCAAAGGGGATTTTTTTTTTTTTGAGATAGGGTTTCTCTGTGGCATTGGCGGCTGTCCTGGAACTATCTCTGTAGACCAGGCTGGTCTAGAGCTCACAGAGATCTGGCTGCCTCTGCCTCCCGAGTGCTGGGATTAAAGGCGTGCGCCACCATGCCCAGCCAGCAAAAGGGATTTTTAAGACAGTGAAATGACTGTTAGCTCTTTTCCTGGAGGGCACACATTTGTCCCAC